AAGTTATAGTTTTCCAAATTTTAAGAGTCCAGCTTTAGTGGATAAAAATATTGGAACTTGTTGTCTGACAACACTTGGAGAGTATGTGATAGAGAAAGACTGTTTGGCATATAGTGAGTCAATTAAGAGGGAGAGAAATCTGTGAGAAAGAAAAGCAGACATGGCCATTAAAGAAAGGAGGAGTAAGAGTTGGAAATAATAATGCATTCGCTCAGGTGGGCAATATGTAGCTAGCTATATATCATGATCCTGAAGAAATATTAGGAGCATGCATGTACAGATGCTCAGAATGTGCTTCCACGTTATTCATTAAACTGTGCACAGAGGCAGAAGATGCAAAGGAGTCCCTTTAGAGAAAAGTTAATGGCAAACACCAGCTCAGTGAATTATTCTGATCTCTTTAAGACTTTCCAAATGAGTCACAAAATCCTTCCGGCATTTCTCTTCTCTTCCCCAATCGAACAGTTAGGCTAATTTGTATTAGGCTTAATGTGTTTCTTACCCTGAAATGCCAACGGTTTGTAAAATCAACCTCAAAATTTGTCCAAGCAAAGTATTTCCCCAGTGTAATTTGTTTTATTAATGATTACCTCCAGTTTCACATCTCTTTCTATTATCTTAATGGAATTTACAAATGGCCTAATGAAGTTTAAGTAATCTTCAAACCTTGGAGAAGAAAGGAAACCATAACTTCCCTAGCTGGGTTACTATAAGAACATAAAGACATCCCCAAATTAAATTAAGATAATGACGCTGGATAAAATGGCATTTTAGCTCCAGAGTTATCTGATCCTATTAAAATTAAAACTGCAATCCCATACTCGCTCACCCAGTCTTATTTCTGCCAAGCTCTGTAAGCAGAATATGCAAACAATAAACATTTTAAAGCCAAACAGAAGGCAAACTAATGCTCTTCAGTATTGTGTGAGTAAAATTGTAGGAAGAAAATATTTCATTGTCCTTTTGCCTATTCCATTAAGTACATTTTTGCCAATAATAATTTGCCAATTTCTTTTTTGGGAATTTGTCATATGTGGTAAGAGCTGTGGTGGTGCAATGGTTAGAAGGCAGTATTGCAGGCTAACTCTGCCCACAGCCAGCAGCTCAAACCTGACTGGCTCAAGGTTGATTCAATTTTCCACCCTTCTGAGGTTGGTAAAACGAGAACCCAGATTGTTGAGGGCAATATGCTGATATTGTAAACTGCTCAGAGATACTGAAAAGCACTATGGGATGATATATAAGTCAAAGTGCTATTGCTATATGTAGGGTTAGAAACAGCCAATGTTTGGTCCAAGGTCATTGTGGGAAACACGCTTTTAACCTTCTCATGTCTCCTCGGAGGCTCTGTGGACCTACAGTAACATAACATAATGTAACATGACGTGACGTGACGTGACATGACATGACATAAAATACGTTGCTCTGAAATTTCAGGTGTCCATCCCTGTTCTAGCTCCGTGTTCCATTCTATCTGCTTCTTTCAGTTCTGTTCCTTTCTTTCTGAACATTCTCACTATCTAGTTTTTGCATTACCTTGACTTTCCTTGAATTCATTAGTCATTTAACTTCCAGCTTTTGTATTTCACCTTCACCCATATCAGAAAGAAAGTTCCCTTTCTTAATATAAGCTTTTCCCACAATTACTCAAGATCCTATGTCATGGTCACCTAGTGAGGTCCAATATTACATGACGGTAGACTCCCAGTATTTCACAAAACAAAGCATAGCTTTCATTCTCTTATCTTAAGGAAGGGGGGAGACATGACTCACTGATGCATTTTAAACAGATCTCCTTCATACGAAAGAATTTGAAATATTGAAGTGAATGTTTGCTAATTCCACTGAGAAAAAAAATTGTTTTTGCTGCTACTTAGCATTCAGAGGCAGCGATTCAGCTTCCTCATCAGAGAGGCGAAGAATGATTTGAAAAACCCACACGAGAGCAGTCATGGAAAACTGTGCCAAGGGAGCTATGAAAACCCTCTCTCACAAGAATGCTTCCTATTGATGCATCTGCTTGCTAGAAACTGCTTTCCACTTTATAATCAGTAACATTCCTACTGGCCCTTTCTACAACTATGGCCCTTGGTCTCTTAAGGCTCAGTTTTCAATACTGATCATCTAATTATTTTCTAATTATGCTAATAACTCTCATCTTAAGTCTCTTCCAGCTCTGGAGTTCTCTCAAACATCTGCTCATCCAGAGATTCATCCCGATATTAAATCAGCCACTAGACTAATGTACCTGGATGCAAATCCAATTTTTTGGATGAAAATTTGCATTCTACATTGATTTCCAAATGTATAGAAAGATTACATATGCATTTTATGAATAGTGCATTCATGGCTAAATTATAGGAAAAATATGAATGATGAACAGGAAAAGATAGAATCCATGATGCATGGTGCTTTGACTATAAAATGCTATATGCTTTGAAGATGCTACTTCTCCATATACTTGCACAGTAATATATACCATATGTAAAGATTCCACTGGAATTCTCTTTAATTTGTCACCCTCTATGATCAATCAATATTTTTTTGCATTTGCCTACAGAATTTGCCACTAAAGCTAATTTTGAATCAGATAAAATTGTGAATATGTACAGCCCGAATAACAATAAGAAAACTCTAGAATAGGTCACTGCATTTTTCTTAAATAAATACAGTTCAGCTAGAAAATGAAGAACAAAGGACCAAACTGGATAATATAGGATATATATTATATGTAAAATACAGATATTTCATGAATGCAGAAGATATGAGAAAAAAAGAGCAAGGCCATTAAGAAAATGACTGTATCTTGCTTTCTGTGTATTTTTGCAGATATAAATCACACAAAAGCAAAGGGCTGTTAAACAGGCTGAAAGTGCTAAACTTAATAAATATGGCCCAACTGCAGTACAAGAAATACCTTTTGCTGTTTTTAATTCATTTCTGTAGAAAATAATGTTAATAAAGTCACATAAAATACTTCCTTGTTTAACAGAATAGTCTGAGAAAAACCTAAACATTCAGCACAATAACAGGACATATAAAGCTACATTCTGCATTCTGCAGTGACTTCTAACACAGACTGCAATCTTAATATAATAAAAAACTGATGGCTGCTTAGCATGAGACCTCATGGTGAAGTTGCCGTTGCAGAATGTATGCTAACATTAGAATATATGTATATTTTAAGGGCAGTTTAGAAAGAGCCATGAGACAATGCAACAATTTATTCAAGAGCATGATTTACACCTCTAAGAGAGATAAGTAAAGCTATGGTTTGACATTCCAGATGTTCAGGTTTAATCAGTGGTGGGATTCAGCTGGTTCGCACCACTTCGGCAGAACCGGTAGCTAATTTTTTGTTGCCCAGGTCCAGAATGGACTTCCGGAAGCGACATCCACACAGAGAGCTGGTTGTTCACATATTTGAATCCCAGCACTGGGTTTAGTTCTGCTTTTTTGTGCCTACTCATCCTTCCAATTTGCTGTTGTTTATTTACTGCAGGCACGACCCAAACAAAAGCAGTATACAAAAGGGCTAAGCATATCAAATATCATGCCATATATAAACACTGGCCCAATTAAAATGATAAGAATATTTATGATGTGCAATTAGAAAATATAAACAACACAACAAGAATTGATCACTTAGTTCTATATTCCCTATTTTTGAAATGAATGTTCTCCAGATTATAGGCTTCTGTTATATATGTCACTTTACTGTAGAATCTGACTAATGTATTAATTCCATAGATCAACCCTGCAATCCAAACCCACTAGAAATTAGCAACAGACGTGATGCCACCTTTATTGTTATCCTCCATGTTATAGATGTACTGGCTTCCAGTGATAGAACAATAGCACTAACTATTTCAACAGCTAAAGCAAGATCTGTAAATTCAATTTATTCAACTATATAAATTATTTTTCTAGATTGCAGAGAAATAATAAACTAGCCTTTGTCCATTCACATATACTGCCAATACATGGTCAATATTTTTATTCACAGAAACCTATATTCACTCCTATAGAGACCTATATTCACAATCTATATGCATCTCTTTTGCAGCCATCCTGTATAAACATTGGTCCTTGATAGGGCTTTTTTCTTTCTCTTTTCCAGAAAGCACATTTACATGACTTTACAATTTTGAATCACTTTTTCAATTAAAACTGGGATAGGCACTTGATACTTTTTGGGCAGGGCCCAAGATCTTTCTTTCTGATCAGGCTAGCCATTGCTGATATCCACTTGATCTTTGACAAGACAAGGTTTCTCAAAGCTAGTAAAATACAGTTACAATATTAAGATCTGGATGAGGCAAGATCTATGTTTCAGGTTTCCTATGTTCATGTCAGAAATTATAAGCCAACTAGTCAAAATATTTGAGCACCTATAAGAGCTTCAGTATTTGTAGGGTATGGCCCAAAAAGTAAAGATGACACATTCATGATGGCGCAATCAAAACTCTGCCTTTTTTTTTTAATCTAACCTGATAATCCAGTGGTTCTCAACTTTTTCTACACCACGGACTCTCTTTAAATACCTTTTGTGGCAGTGGACAATGGTCACAGACCCCCAAGACTTGATTTAAATCATAACATTTCTTCAAGCCTTTGCAGACTCCATGGGATGACATCACTGTCCCCCAAGGTCCATGGACCACAGGTCAAGAACCACTGTCATAATTGTCTCTACTGAAACAGCTGTTCATATACTATGTGTTCTAGCTCTTTATCATTGTCTTCTGACCACATTCAAACATGTTTTTTTTAATTCCAGCAAAAAATTGACAATCCCCAGTCTTACCGCCAATCAAAATCAGTGCCAATTATGTTGAATTACTTTATGGTCAACTACAATATAAACCATCTTCAGCTTTATTGTTCTTATGGAGCATTGTAATTATGCTCCAATCCTTTCAGGTATAAGGTGATATATTTTCTGGCACAAACAAAACCAAAAGTCTTAGACAACCTTGGTATTCTTCTAACAACATTACCTTTGTGAGAAGACATCTCTGTAGGGGCTTCCATGTTGAAGAGCTATTCCATATCCTCGATCTGCAATAGTATTTCCAACAGTGTAGAAGGAACAATCTGGGTCATTCAGAGCAACATATTCCAAAACTGCTGCATCCCAAACAAAGGCGTAATTTCCATATTTGACCTGAAACCACAAAAGAAAATAAATGATTCAATTTTGCTTTGAATGTTTTGAAAAAAAAGAAACAAACAGCAGCTATGAACACAAACAATACCCTTTACACTGTATAGGCTATTTGAAAGAGTGGGAGGTTTTATAGCATCGTTTTCAGTGAAATGAAAATGAAAAATATCCCAGCCAGAAACCTGTTTCATTTATAGGGCACCTTCTTTCATTAAACTTAAATGACTAACTGTAAAGGAAGAATTAGGCCATGGGTGTCAAACTTGCCGCATCACATGACTTTTTTTTTGCATTGCTGGAGCTGGGGTGGGCACCGCCTCCACATGATTCAACCAGCCTGCGGGCCAGCAGTTTAACACCCCTGAGTTTGGCTGTCACATGGGGAATTGTCCCTGATACTGATTCAGAAGATACAATTAATGCTGAATATAATGGCCAGGTTATTATCTGACTCGTCAACTATATTAAAATATATACACTGGTTGCCTCTTTGCAAATGAACCAGGTTCAAAGTCCAACATATTATTACACAAAATTCTAAACAACTGAGTTACACCAGCCTCCAAGCTCTTACAGTCTTCATGGAGGCTACCACTTGAGATGATCAAGGAAAATGTTAATTGAAGTGGCACAGATTCTATCAATGATCTCTTCGTGGCTAACATTCCAGTCCTAATGGTTGCTTGTTTACCAATTCCCATTGCTAGTTTTCATGGCTTGCTTTTATTCCTTGGCATTGTTTTATAAACTCACTGTAAAATGCTTACAGAAGACCAATTGATAATAACTAGAAACCTCATATTTTAAATAAATATATATACATTGAAGTACACTGTGTGGGGAAAATGTTCCATCTAGGTACTGACATGGTTTAGATCTCTGGGTCACAATAGGTGGCAGGATGTAACTAATCTTGACTGATCTAAGCAGCTCTGAATATGATTAATTCTTTTGTGAGAGATCCCCAGGAAATTCCAGGATTGTAGATTAGATTGGAAGATCTAAAGACATCCTAGGGAAAGAGGTAAGGAAATCCCTTTCATAGTATTGCCAAGCAAGTAACATGGACATAAGAAGGAGACCTTTATTCAAAGGAGAATTCATTCATTTATTCTACATCTTCATCAAGATGCTATGTCCTGTGCCTGAAGACTTTAGGTTGCTTATAAGAAGCAGCTATTAATGGTCTTCTCAGCTTCCAATACTTCCAAGTATGTACTGTGTTCCAGTATTTGAGAGGTATTCCAGTATTTGAAGAAGTACGTATTGCAGTATTTGAGAGGCTGCCACAAAGAAGAGGGGGCCAACTTATTTCCAAAGCACCAGAGCACAGGACAAGAAACAATGGATGGAAACTAATCAAGGAGAAGCAACCTGGAATTAAGGAGAAACTTCATAACAGTGAAGACAATTAGCCAGTGGAATAGCTTGCCATCAGAAGTTATGGGTGCTTCCTCACTGGAGGGTTTTAAGAAGAGACTGGATAGTTACTTGTATGAAATAGTATATGATCTCCCGCTTAAACAGAGGGTTGGACTTCCAAGGTCTCTTCCAAGCTCTATTCTAATTCATTTACTGGAATTCTAAGTTCAGAGAACAATAATTACATTCAAAGAAAATCCATGACAAAACCATATTTTTGCAAATATTTTAAAATCTCATTCCCACGATGAATTCTTCTGTCATTTCATCTATAAAATACATCAAGATCTATAATATCTTGCCCAACACAACCCATGTTTTGCCTTCATTCATATGCACAATACTATTGGCAGGGCTATGGAAATGACATTATGACTTATTATAGTTCATCACACAGCCAACCAGATGTTTAGACTGGATTTGGCATTTTTATTCACCTATTGAATTCTTCACAAGGGCCTAGGATGGGCAGATGTTGCTCTTTGATGGTCTTAAAAGTATCACTGCAAAATATAAGCTGTTCCTAGTAAAGCTGCAATTAACTGAAGGTGATTTTGTCAGTGCCAGTGGTGTTCATGTGGGGCTCCAGTTGTTTTGAATTACACTCAGGGAGCCTTTTATAGGTTAGTGCTGGATTTAGGACTGCAACTGAGCCCAAAATTTCTGTTGTTAAGCAAGACAGTTCTTAAGTGAATTTTGCTCCGTTTTACGACCTTTGTAGCCATAGTTGTAAAGCTAGTAACACAGTAATTAAATGAATCTGGCTTCCCCATTGAATTAGCTTGTTAGAAAGTCACAAATGGTGATCACATGACCCTGGGTATTTGTAGTGATCCTCTTCATCCAGACCCTTGATGTTATTTCCACAGGGCATCTGGTTACCTTCAGTTCTCACTATTTTCCCCCATACTGATAGTAAGAGTAGCACTTTTGGCCAGTCCAAACACCATTGCAATGTCTTGCCTGTATATATGGATAGTGTTGAGCAGTAATTCTATTTCAGATTTTTTACATGCAGTTTCAAATTTTCCATGTAAAGGAGATAGGGTAGCATGGAAGATTTTTTGGATATTTGATAGCCATGGCCTGACTTATTCAGTCCTGTTACCTGTTATTTCTGAGCATTTGATTATCCAATCATGTGGCAAGGAATTGAGTGCTTTTTTGTAATCCATCCATGCTACATTCAAGTTGTTCTTCTTTCTCTTGAGTTTTCCAGAATCATGTCGATTACGAGTTGATTTTTTTGTTCTTCTGTTGTTTGGGCAGCATCCTTTCTGCTCAAATGGAAAAAAGCTTGCTTTCACCTAAATGCTGTTGGACTGCATCTTAAGTGTTCCAATATCTAAGGGGCTGCCACTAAGAAAAGAGGGTCAACTATTCTCCAAAGCATCTGAAGGCAAGACAAGAAGCAATGGATAAAAATTAATCAAAGAGAGAACCAATCTAGAAGCGTCTTATGGACTTTTTTGTGTAAAAATGAAAAAAGTGAACTTATGTTATGATTTTGGTGATTTGACAGGATAGAATTCAGTGGTGGCGAACCTATGGCATATGTGCCAGAGGTGGCACTCGGAGCCCTCTCTGTTGGCACACGCACCGTCGCCCCAGCCCTGCCTCCTCCCATGGCCCCCTCCTCACCAGCAGCCCTCCGGAGGAGAGTCGCCCCCGGGCACGGCCCATGCAATGCTGTGCAGCCAAGGACATGGTAGCCGGGCAGTGGGGACAAGACTCCACCCTGCACCCCATCATGTGCAGATGATGCTGCAGGGTGCGGGCGGAGGGCGTGGCCACCATGGAGTTGCTGGGCTGCCTGGGTGATCTGTGGCGGGCTGTGGAGGTGGTGGGTGGTCCAGTGGGCATGGCGGAGCAGGGACAGGGGTGGGGGGTTGGTTTGGGAGCACTCGGTCTCTAAAAGGTTTGCCATCACTGGGATAGATTATCGAAAGAAGACTAATATGAGAGAGAAGTTAAAATATATTTGTACTTATGACTTCTGTGATGAATATGAAAAGCCACTTCATTTTCTATTTTTGTAACTTTGTTTTCTTTCTCACACTATTTGATTTATTTTTTCCTTGCTTACTACCTATTAATTTTTTGTTAGTTTTTATCTACTTGTTTAACAGTTTTCATTTTTTTTAAATATAAGGAACAAGATTCAATGCAGGCAACCTTATTCCAATGATTTTGTGCTGTTCTGGATGCTCAGTTGTTCTTTGTTTCAATTCTTAAAATTTATTAAATTTCATTATTTGTTCTTTCTGATTTGAGATTAAAGATGATTCAATAGCTATGTTGTCTTCCTCTATTGCTGACTCCCTCAGATTTGCCTTTACAGTCTGAGCTACTTCTGGCAAGGCTTCAATTTCTTTGCCTGGTAGACCTTTGCCTCTTCCAATTCTGCTTCTGTGAATACTTTATTTCATATTATAAATTGATGTTGATCTGCTAGCCCCTGTTATGTTATTTCTGATTCTGGATGTAGTTCTTTCCAGAACTGGTGCATTCTTTTCAGATATCTTGTTGGACTTGACTTGTAATAACAGCTCATTTTTTATTTTCAATCTTTCCATATTTGCAACAAATAAACATTAATCAATTAATCCATTTATCCTGCAGCTGCTGGCCCCAGTTGATTAGCCAACAATTCCGAGTTCTATAGCCCACTTGTCACTAGATGTTGAGTAAAATCTAACATCTAGCATGGTCTTTAACCTGGCCAGTGACCAATCCAGTATGAGTTTGTGTAAATTATGTCTCACTATATTGTTTATGGGAGAGGCACTCTTTCTCTAAGTCCTCTGACAAGACTCATCATCTTCAGAGCACACACAAGCCTCATAACCATATCAAAATAGTGCCTGGGATTATTAATTATTATTATTAATTCATTAATTATCTAAGAGCTGTGGTGGCACAGTGGTTAGAAAGCAGTATTACAGGCTATTTCTGCCAACTGCCAGCAGTTTGATTCTGTCAAGGTTGACTCAGCCTTCCACCCTTCTGAGGTCGGCAAAATGAGGACCCAGATTGCTGGGGGCAATTTGCTGACTCTGTAAACTGCTTAGAGAGGGCTATAAAGCACTGTGAAGTGGTATATAAGTCTAAATGTTATTGCGATTACTAAGTGACTCTGGATGGCTCACAGGATTGTATATGCTGAACAAGGTAATATAGAGGGGAAAGCGAGCAGATTGTTAATTAATAACAGTTGTATAATATATTCCCCAAAGCATGCAGTTCCCCTTTTAGTAAAAAAAGTAGCACTCCCACTTAAAAGTTGCTGAAAAATGGGAAATTATCATATTAACCTGGACCACCCCAACCCACTCACATCTTTACATCTGCTATTTCCCAGTTATCTACATGTATATCTGCTATTTCATCAAACAAATTCTTTTATCTGTTGTGTCAGCTTGAGTCTTTGCACATTGCCTGTTCTCTAGCTGTCTGAAGAAGGCAGTTGCTTTCTCTCAGGGGTCCCACACAGTACATTTCCTTTAATACTTCAACCAATTACACTATCTCTAAAGGAAAGCCAAGGAAAATTCATTAAATGTGTAAAGTCAACATGG